CTTACCTTCCATTCATTGGGGGGAAGGGAGGGGGGGGTCATGAGCATTTTATTCAAACGGAGCTGGTTAGGGTGCTGCGAAGCAACTAACTAAATTAGTCGACTATGACAGAGAACGCGGCGAGACAACTATTTATGTAGCTAGGAATCGCCGCTCACCACCTTCAGTGCCATATATCCCTAAAAAAAGTGATGTCTTCATTGCCCACGCTGTTGTTATGTAGGGATGACTCACGAATGCCGCGTATAGGACAAATTGAATTGAATGATAAATTGTCTCCCATTAGTTTCAGTTTGATTCGCCATTCAGATGGGTGTAATATTCTATTGGATCAGTAGCCGATAGTTCAGGAATATACTGAACTAGAATGGAAAAAATTGTTGACCGTGCTCATCGCCAGACTTTAGATATTATTTTTAATCGGTCTACTGATTTCGTGGTGATGATGGCAGGGGTGAAAGCTTAACTAGTCGAGCAATATCAGATACGCTTATCCTAGAGGTCGAATCCCGGCAGTTACTCGCCTACGTCACCCAAACGTTCCATCCTTCCAAAGTCACATAATTGGTGCCATTATTGTCTGGAAGGATGAAAACACTTACTCGTACATCACTAGATTACCGTAATTCATCGTATGTATGAACCATACACCCACAAGCAAGTCCACTACGATTCTGATTAGAAGTCGGACGCAGTCCGCATTCCAACCAGGAGTAATAGACAATTAATGCTGAAAGACTTTGCTCCTACCTTCCAATTTCTTGGTAAGTTTTCATTGTTTATGTGTTTAACCCCTCTTTTTAGCAACCAAATAAGCTCCACTAGATAGATGTCATAAAGCCTTTTACTACAAGCTTGCCTATATAATAGTACTGCCAGCGTCACAAGACAGCGAAGTAAAAAAGGATTGATTTTTCAATAAGTAGACGACGATTCAGTGTTAAAATCGAGCAAGAAAAATTAGCTTTCTTACAATGGAAAGATCCCAAGTCGAAGTGGTTATTTGTATAGCCGTATAGCAGTATAAGTCTCAATTCGAATGGCCACTTCGACTTGGGATCCTTTCCTTGTTAGTAAAATTTCAGAATGCAGAGTCCAGGATGATGACATCATACCATTTTGTTAGGCAGGTGGGTTTGGCTTGGGAAAGAAATTGTTTGATCTGAAGAACAAGCTGAAAAAGGAAAACAGTGACTGGTGAATAGAGCCGAAAAGGGGTATGTCAACGTCGTCTGCGAGCAATAGCATAGCAACCGGTTCACTACCCGTCAACGAAAATCGCTACGTACACATCGTTTCATCAAAGGAAGAAGGCAATCATTCACCGCTGTGGATTATACTCGATAGAGGATTATAGATATTTCTTTGGCTCATCAGTTAGAGAGAATCGTTGAAATAACGGCTATAACTATGTCATACGGAAGCATGCATTGTGTAACAAGCAAGCAAGCTTTCTCTTTGAACGGCATCAGCAATGAAATTTTGTTTACTGTTTATTGTTTGAGGGTGCTTGTGTGAATATGCCATATGAAAGTAACAAAAGTAAACAGCAACTACCTATTATACCCATGTGGACAATACCGATTTGATTTCCATCGCTGGAGGGAGTGGATTTGCGCTATGTGGGGTTATAACCAAACAAATGTTCAGGACATGAAATCAGACTACCTAGCGACCAAGATCTCCAGCTCACCAAATTTGTTGGGCCGGTTTCGATGTTTCTTGAAAGAGAGAAGAAGGGAATGTTCATCACCTACCTTTCAGAGAGATTGGTTTATACAGGCATATTTGGTTATTACAGGAACCTATTACAGCAGCCAACCCGGAAGTTAGGGCTTTTTCCCCTCTCGTGCAAAGGAAGAACTGACTGGGTGATCCCCTGGGGGTGGAAGAATTGAGAACGCCTCTGGAATTCGTCGTCACAGGTTTTGATGTCCAGGTCATACGAGTGGTAGCGGGTTACATGGTCCTATCACGTGTATGGCCTAATGATCAAACCTTCGACTTCCCATAACCGTTTCTGGCGACTTAACCGTTTTTAAGCTCATGTCAGTGCCTTCTGAATGTATTCCTTGGCTGAAATTCCGGTAAGAGGCTTTATTCACAACATTGGCTTTATAAAAAGAAAATTAAACAAAAAGGAAACGACGCGGCCATAACGGCATAACGGGAAAGACTGACGTGATTATGGCTGATGCACAATCTGGTGAGATTCATATCAAATTTATACAAAGGTTTAAGGGACTACAACGCCTTAAGTTGAGCATCACAGTTCACAAACGTCCATCCCATCAGCTCAGTCAGTCGATAATGTCCACCAGCTCGCCATGAGTGCGACGGGTTTCTCCGTAACCTGAAAGAAACACGCCATTTATTGTGTACTGCCTCCACAATTAACGACAAACGCCAGTCACGTAGATTCCGCCCATAACGNCCCCCCCTCCCTCCAAGTTCGCCCACGTATATTGTATGATGTGTGAGAAAAGTTCAAGTCTTGTGGCGGTAATCAGTCCCGTCTGAGGAATACGCCTAACATTTGAACCTATCATAATCGCGGTGACCTTATGAATGCGCTCGTGCCTATACAATGACTTGAGGTGGCCAACCCGATGTACAAGTCAGTGCTTTTATTCTCCCACACGAGTCTGGTACAAATAAACCGACCCCGAAGGCATGGAACTCATAATTGGCCTAGAGGAGGATTCATCCGGGAATTGATGGATCATGCGTGTTAGAACACCACTTGCAACCTGACCCATAATTTCGAAAAACAGGCTAGTTGTCTCACCGAAGAATTGTCATTGAGTACTTACGTGGGGTGAAAGAATGTCTGAATTTGATAGGAGAATCGCGATGAACTCACATGCTAGCATAACTTCACTTGCTGTGACTATTTTCTCATGGAATGCCTTAACAGCAGCGTGGTCGAGGGAACGACTATCCACATCTGAAAACAATTATTTCAGATTTTCAAGTTAAGATGATTTTGATAGAGGCAGGAAATCGGGGTTGGGGGAGGGGCACACTATCACATTCATGGTCTATTGAATCCGGCACGATACCGACCGAGGCTAACCGAAGGTTTTAATAGTGGGAGGTTCGATGAGGGCCTGTGACAGTCAGCGCAAAAGAGAGCAGAAGGCAAGGGATATTGACAAACTATTGACTAGTTGAGATGAAGAAGACAGCCCATTTCCTAGCAGTCCTTTGTATATTCCTCAGCTCAGCATGAAGGATAATTAGATGATTAGACTCCTTCAACTCACCATTCAATGTGCAATAATGCGCGAGGGGAGGAGCATACTGAGCGATGCACTTTGGCATCGCAAAACATTGAGTCCGACTGACAAACAACGATCTTCCATAGTCGGCCAAGTACACCTGAAGAAGCATGAAGAAAATGTCTTCTGTCAAAATGAAAGTATATCTGAAAAGACTCGAATAATTAAAGTCAAAAGAATTTTGGTACTTTCAGGATAGCTTAATGGAAAAGAGCTGAATAAGTAGTTGGTTCGCGTTCACTACGGGAAACTTTTTCTGAACTCTTAAAACCCGCTTCTATCCTAAGTTCAAACTTTTCCATTAGGGTTTTCAAAAAAAGGTAATTGCTGAGTGGTGGTTAACAGCAGAAAAGGGTTTCTTTCATGTAAGGAATCAAAAGTGTTACCTGAACTTCGTGGGTCCCTCCGTGACCTATTATTGCTCTCGCAAGGCTATCCTCGAAGCGAACCAAACAAGCGTGATCTGTACGGCATTGCGAATCCAACAGTGGATGGCGACACAGCTTGTCATCACAAAACGACAGAATTCGTTCAATTTCTCGAAGAACACTGGAATGGTGAATCTCGCAAAACGCCAAACAAGCTGTGATGAGAAAACTAAAAACCAACGGTTCCTACTCCGTCCTAAGGAAGGCATCAGAGAGCTCCAGAGAAAAACAGTGATAGAGAAAAGGACACAGAGAGGGACAGGGACAGAGGGACAAGGAGAAAGAGACAGACAGACAGAGATAGTCAGAGAGAGAGGCAGCGGGAGGTACACACAGAGCTAGCTTAGATTAAACCGAGCATCAGAATAAGAAACTGAAGAGTAGTATATCTTAAGAAAGGAGGATGAGAATAGCTTTTATTATTAAGTGCACAAAAAACGTGTCTCCACTAGAAATTGATCTGAGAAACTCCAAAGTGAGCAAAGCCTATAGGAATCTTTTCCCATGGTCTCAAGTCAAGTGCTCTCGCCAGTCAGTGCGACGCAAGGCTCGAAGCGGAGCTCGATCTCATATGCCCATCCCTTGGCATGCAAAAGCAATAGTGGAATAAATGTGACAACTTTTTCCACTTTGGCATAGAGGATTCAGCGGAAGGCCCCCAGCCATTTCGTGAATAACTTTCCGGTTTCATAAATAACCTTAAGGTTGTACCCTACAGTTTTGAGCAATGAACGATGTGATGAAACCGATATTTACAGTTATATTATGTACATGGCGGGAAATCAAAGTGGAATGCAATCCGTAATTTTATAGTGACAGTAAATCGTACAACTCGGGAGTAGTAGCTCAGTTACACCGACCATTGGTGGGAAGAGAACTCATCTCTAGAATGGGAGAGGAAAATGTGCTCGTTTGCTTCGAGAAATTCTCAACCAGAGGTGTGAGATAACTAGACTCCTAGCGGCGATCATCCGCGGAAAACGTTCTCTGGACAACAAATTTTTATAGAGTCAACAGGACTGAAACTGGAAAAACCTAGGGGGAAAATTTGGGCTCTACCGGGAGTAATGTTGGTAACACTCACGCCCACAAAGGTCTAAATAGGGTATGTTAGTGGCTGATGAGAAACGGTTGCTATGAGAATTGTACGTGGTTGCATAGTTCATCTCTACGTGGTTCATCTCTGATGATAGAAAACTCCCCATTGGCAGTATTTGGAAGTGATAACGCTATCTGTTGGTTGGACCCTTTACGTTATCGTCCAATGTGGCCTCCCGCATTCGGTTGGTTCATCTATGCAGAATCGTTCTGAGCACCTTTGAAATACGGGAATGAAGTCCTTGGCGTTAATCAATCCCGTTTTCGGATGCCCCCCCCCCTCTCACCAACTCCCATCCAGAATCGTAGTGACCGACAATGAAATCCAGGGTCCAGCCGGTGTAGAATTCAGTGCTTGCTACTCTTCTCCCAACTTTTCTCCAACGAGATACCCCTTCGCCAGTTTTTCAGTGGTATACCTGTGGTAAGATTATAGGGTCAGTGGTAAGATTATATGACCCACCTAATGTGGCTAACTTTGATGACATAGAATTCCAGTGGGGAAACTGCACTGAGGACCTTAGCAACAAACTTGTCACCCCTTTTAAACAGCTGCGGGGGTGGTAAGGTAGTCGCTATCGTACGAATCACCGTCGACCATTCCTGGAATGATGGCTTTGAAAGTAGGCATAAAGGCATTTGCGGCGTTGTACCAATGGTTTCGCTATAGACAAGACATACCTCGCCTAGTTCCTTTTCGCTCAGCGGTTGAACCACGTCAAATTCATCTTCAGATTGTTCGTTCATGGACATCCCATCTTCGAACATTTTCTCCACAGGACTGGTATTACCATTCGAGTCCACCGACGTATAGCTATGTGATCGCTTTGTCTGACCACAGTTCACATTCACGCGTTCGAATCGTGAAGACAGCACTTCTGAAAGCACAGCAGAAACATTCGCGATCAAGAAAGCCTCGCCCACTGGAACTCACCGTAGGCATGCGCTTCGAGTTTGCTAAGAGATCTACGCAGAATTGTGATGCCGTTTGTCAAATCACTCCAATTCTGTTGTGCAGATGGTTTCCCAGTAGCAGAGAATAGCAGCGAATGGGATCGGATCACCTAGAACCAATTCTTCAGAAACAGTAGCTGACCGAAGGGGTCAAACAAGATCTACTGAACCTAGCCAAACTTTAAGGAGGTGTCGATGTTGGTCTTAGCGATGATACCAACTGACCACGATTTTTCTCCTAAACTGGGTATCAGGGATCGAGATTGCAGATACCATCTCCCTTCATCATTGGTACGACTATACTTTGTCACATCCCACTCTGTTGGTGCACCGAAACTAACTTCATGAGCGTTGCAGCTGAGGCTTTTGAGCTGATGCGCTCCATACTCCATAAGTTCTGGGCCGACGTCGCACCGCGCACATCTGCATGGTTTTACTGACGGCGGAGGTATTTGTGGGCTCATATCCTCAGAGTCTGTGGGGTTCATGTCTTGAACAGGCCAGTCTGCCCAAAGTCATCTGTCCCCTTATTTATGATGCCTTTGCATTCTCCTTCGAATAATCAATGCGTTTGGAGTCAAAAGAGTTTCTGGGTAGATGTTTCGATTGATGCCCTTTGGGTGCACCTTAGCTAGCGCCAAAGTAATCCAAATGGTTTGATTATGCGCCCACCAGTATAGGTGGTCCTCGACTTCGGACGTCTGCCAGATAACGATCTTCTCCACACGTTATATTATCTCTCATTTATAAAGCAGAAACTTGGTGTGTCGGTTTGTAAGTTTATCGGCGTGTCGGTCTGTCCGCCCACAAAACTTCTGATTACGATAAGTTGTGATATGGAAAACTTGCTCTACCTCTATTCTACACCTTCTTCTTATATATGAGGCAGTAACTTGGTGGTTAGGTTGATGGAGTAGAGTGAGTACTGCGTAGTGAAGTGAGTGATGTGAAGTGGGTACTTCAAAACTATTATTTCGATCTGTACCGGCATCGTGCTATGTATGTCTCTACAAAAATCGGAGGTGATAATGTAGTTGGGACACCTCAGCTTTTTTTTTACATAATTTTAATATAAGGTGGTTGACCCATAATTAGCCCCGTTAACGTTTCTCAGCCGAGAACATGCAGTTTTTTGATCTGAGCATTAGGAGAGAA